TCGTCGGCCCTTTTGTGTTTTTTTTTCCTTTTCCTGGAGACGAATTTTATTTTCTGATAAGTTTTCTGGAAAATAATTTTTTTTTTAGTTTAAGACAGAGACATCACCTTATGTTTCTTCAACAGGAAAAAAAAAATCTAGGATATCCTTCACTAATCTTAATATCACTCATAACTAGGTGTTTTGCCCGCACATGCGGGCTTAATTATCTTTAAATCTATTTAAAAATCATCAAAATAAATGATATTTGCATCCAAAAAATAAATTTAATTTAACGTGCGAGTCCAGATGCGAAAATAACTTCACAAATATATATATCATTATATTATATTATTATATTCTTTTAATTTGAAAATAATTACGTATTATATATTTTCCGGATAACAACACAATATATATAGGAATTATCTTTTTATTTTTAAATATATATTTAGATTATGGATAATTCTTATCATTATTATTAATTTAAATCATTTATCTAATCAAATAAATATTAATTCGTTTTTACTATTGGCTGATTTATATATTTATTCATTAAGGGTAATATCGATATTAACCGCTCTAACTTTTAATGTGGGAGCTCCGTTGCGAAAAATCACTTCGCAAATAATAGTATAGATTTAATGAAATTATGAAAACCTGATTATATCCTTATTTACTTTTGAAATTAATTATTATTTAAAAAGTATTTTTTGAAATTTTTGAATTTTACAAATTTCAAATTTTCAGATATTTATTAAAGTTTCAAATTTCAATTATAGAAGTACAACTGGTCCAACTATGTTATATTGGTTTAATTAGTTATACTAATCTAATTGTGTTATATTGGTTCAACTAATTAGATTGAGTTCTACTAGTTATATTGAATTCTATTACTTATATATACTTATGTAGTTATATTGAATTCTACTATTAAGGATGAGAGACAAGATAGCATCACGCTCTTCACAATGAGGTACTTATTCCAAGCTACTATTCATTGCATTTGGAGAGAGAGGAACAGAAGAAGGCATGGAGAGAATGAATCTCCGCCTGATCTGTTAGCAAAGCTGCTTGATAAGACTATGAGAAATAAATTCTCTATTATTCAGAAGGGGAGAGACAAGAAGCTTGAGGGAGGTTTACAATACTGGTTTACAACGAGAATAGCTTGAGGATGGTGGCTTGGATGTTTGTGTTTCTGCCCCAGTAGGAGTGAGAGCTGGGAACTCAGTAGGAGTGAGGGCTGAGTTTGCAAATCCTAGTAGGAGTGAGAGCTAGGTACTCAGTAGGAGTGAGAGCTGAGTTGAGTTGGTGTGGTTTAAGAAAGTGCAGGGTTTATGATGCTGCTTGGTAGAGAAGTAAAAGGAGTTCGATGGAGTTTTGTAGTTTTTTTTAAATATTGTATCTTTCCTCTCTTTTCATAAACATTCTTGTAAAGGTCTTTTTTTTGAGTTATAAATTTAACATTTAGATTCAAAAAAAAAAAAAAAAAAAGAATTCTACTATTAATGAATTCTAGGGTAAACGATCTATTTACTCACGAGAACTATTGAAAACAAAGAATAAGATTCACTTGATGATTGATTCTAAAGCCCTTACACTATTTACTAGTAGTAGTATTAAAATAAAAATATTTTAGTGGCTGGGATTAACTTTAATAGTTTCCCAATACACACACATCAAATAGTATTAAATATGACAGATTTTTTAGTGTTTTTACTACACTATTAAATAAGCACATGTTGCACACTAGAGTAGAAGGCACAGTTAAAACAAATAAACAAAATTAAATAGTGTAGAACTTTAAGAATACAATATGGACCAGGCATGTTGACTTGAAATAGAAACAAAACAAAAAGTCCATTAAAGAAGAAAATGATAAAATAAACCCTAATGTCTCTTTGGTGTCCGAGAGAGCTGGAAATGACGAGAGGAGATCGGAGGCACATTAATAAGAAGCTGCAGCCGAAGCTGAAGCCAGGTGAGCGGCCGAGCCACATCCAGTTGCGTCCGGTGGTTTTCTGCAAGGATAACATGGCGGGTGAAGCCTTTGCAGATCAAAAGACCGAGGTGATTTATGATATAGAGAACGTGTGTGGCTAGAGACAAAGCACGAGCTCTAGGTTGGCAGATGAAGGCTTTATGGAGAAGCATATGGCTACAAAGGAAATGTAAAAATCCACGCCATCTCTGGGAAGAGGGCGAAGCTTCCAGAAGACTTGATTCCTTACTCAAGGAAAGGGGGATACAGTTTAGGTACGCAGCCTCAAAGAAGAAGCAAACGGCTGATAAAAATCTCAAGAATCTTATCAAGACAATCATCAGGGAAGATCAAAGGGTAGGGAGACGTCCTGGTACACTGGTTATGATATCTCCATGAATAATTGGATTATGTAAAAAAAATTGTTGAAATAAGATTGGTTTTTGGTTCATAAATTACTTAGGACTAATGTTTCAAATCAAGGCACTTGATCATGTGATGTTGGCGATCTTATATGAATGGTTAAATTCGTAGAAACGTGGAATGTACAAAAATTGATCAAATTGTAGTAATTGTGTGTTGGTGTTAGAAGATTTGTGTTGAAAGTGTAAAATAAAATTCAATTGAGTGGTACATTGGCATTAGTTGTTAGCAATTGTATGAGCTTAATAACATTGCATGAAAAAATGAAGATTTAAGGAGAATAAATGACCAATCAATATGTGAATGGTTTATTACTAATTATACTGATTGTGTTTATTTTCATATCTTCTTTTCACTTTAAGTTAATTTATATTTTTATCGACATTTTGTTGAATTTCATCCATATATACATTGAATTAGAATATGGGATAATAGTAATTGCATAATATATTTAGATTATTTGTTTTTTCACTTGTCATCAAATGGTTCACTAGTTATCATAAAATTCCACTCAAGTATGCAAGATCCATGGGCAAGCATATCAAATCTTTTCTCAAACAACATGGATACAATGGCCGAGTGAGAATTGAAGTTTATTCAGCTATGAGAGACCTTAATTTATCCATATTTCTCAATTTTTCATTTCGTGCCGATCATGATCTCTCAAGAATGACTGGTGATGATTTAAGTTAAGTCTAGTGGAAATATAAGTCAGAAAAAAAATGTCTATGAGTATGTGGAATGATATATATTGTTAGTGCTTAACACTCTCAGACTCTCAGTATGCACGAATGATATAGGCAACAAATGTGGATTTGGTTGTGGGTACGGGTTAGGTTAATACAAACTTTTATTAGTTTGAAAATCGTAAAATGAGAAGAAAGATTGACATTTGTAAGTTGATCAAGTCATCAAGAAAGACCCATTCACCTGCTAATTTTTTTTTACATGTTAATACACAGATAACATTTCTATTTTTAACTCATCCGTAATTAATATTTACTTCAATTTACTTGTCGTTGTAGAGTAAAAATTTCGTTTTGAAATAAGTGTCATTTTATAATTTCGTTGCAAAGTTTATTAACTTTATATGCTATTATATTTTTCTATTGGTTGAAAAGTGGTTAGATGTATAGGAAATTGTGTTTTTATCTTGAAAATATGTAAAATTAAATATTTTCTTAATCTGTGTGCAAAAAAACTAAAACGACAACTAAAATGGAACGAATGGAGTATGCAATAATGAGGCTATCATAAAGAAATAATTATTAATTAGAATTTGTGATATTTAAAATTTTCATAAATACATATATAAATAAGGTTTTGGTAAAATAAGGAAGTGAAATTGAAGGGAAGAATGTTGTGAAGAAAGGAGCATGACAGACGTGAAGGTTGGTTAGCTTCCAAAGAACTCCACACGAAACGGTCAACACGATTCTTGTGCCTCTCCTCCCTCAGACATAAACTTAAAGGTACTAGTCACACATCACACATATACGTACGTACGTATCCAAACGTTTACAATACACAATCAGATGATACAACTATACATTCTGTTATTATTAATCATTGTAATCGGACTCTTGCAAATATAGCAAATGTATGCTCAATTAAACTGCATCAACATGTTCTATGCAGAATTAACCTTACAGAAAATGTTCTCAGACGAAAACTCTAAATTGTTCCCTTTATGATTGACTGTTAAAAAAAGATATCGTGTACTCGCGTATTTTCGGTGAAATATAAGTCTATTTAAATTCTCAGAAAAAAATATAAGTCTACTTCTCTACTCTTTTCCTGGTAATTGAGTATACTTTTGGGGGCGTGACAAAAAAAAAAAAAAGAGTATACTTTTGGGTTAAGAGTTAATTAAATACTATAATGTACGCTAACAATCCAAATTATAATTAACTTACTTTAATATATCCCCTGCCATGCATCTCATGTTAACAACTTCCCAAAGTTTTCCCTTTTGGAAACGTTTATTAGTGCTCATCTTTTATAATTAAAAGATATTAAATCTAGGGGATTTCTTATATGGTTCCAGACGTTTATATTTAACGTAAGCATTTCAGTAAGACGTTTGTCAGACTAGTGCTAAAATGCAAGTCATAGGCATAACTTATATTTACAACTTAAGATTAAAGAGACAACGTAAAAAAATAAGTCTATTAGTATACAGTAATGAATATTAGTTAGTAGCTAAACACTCAAACACTCTCTTTGCACGTGCACCTGGCATCACACCTTCTTCCCATTTATACTCTCTTTCTTGCACCTAACCATACGTTTGGTATAAAAAGAATTCGAATTATAAAGAAATTTAATTGCAATATAGCTATTATATTAATTAATACTGATAGTAGTCCAATAAGAAGAAAATTACTTATTTTTGATTTTTAAAATGACAAAAAGGAAAAAAAAAGAAACGATTACCCCATTCACCTCGACCTCCTTCATGAAACAAACGTGGCCTCCTCCGTTTCTCTACTTATATACCCACATTTACACTTGTACATAATCACTCATATATTAATAACATACATTTATAGATACTATTAGTTCACAAGTAACTCTCATCAACTAAACCTAATTAATTAACGCTTGTTTGGTTATGGCTGATCAGCAGCGATCTGGCCACAACACTTCGGACTCTCGCCGGAAATCAGCAGCCGGGAGACGAACCTCACAACACACTACGACGTCATCATTATCTTCCGGTGGAGGAACCATGTCGGCAGCTGCAACGACGGGGACAGGAACGGTCTCGCCTTGTGGAGCTTGCAAGTTCTTGAGAAGGAAGTGTGTGAGTGGATGCATTTTCGCTCCACATTTCGGATCGGACCAAGGAGCGGCTAGGTTCGCGGCTGTCCATAAGGTTTTTGGAGCCAGCAACGTGTCGAAACTGTTGCATCATATTCCGGTGAACCGTCGTCACGACGCAGTAGTTACGATTTCATATGAGGCTCAGGCTAGGCTCTCTGATCCTGTATATGGCTGCGTCTCAACTATCCTTGCTCTCCAACAACAGGTGAATTACGTACGATAGAATATAAAAAATGTATATTAGTATTTTTTTTTGTAACTGGCTTTAACTATCTATTAGTATATTAGTTTATTTTTTTGAAACTTTTGTATACTAACTTAGAAATGAACAAAAAATGATACTCCCTCTATTTCTTTTTATAAAATGTTTTAGAAGATTTATGTTGTTTCAAAATATAAGATGTTTTGAGATTTTAAGGTATGTTTTAAAGTTTTAAAATTAATTTTAACTTTATTGGAAACTGTGAATCAATAAAATTTTCGTATTTTTTTTTGGTAATTGGTTGAATGATTTTAAAAATATAATATTAAAAATATTTAAAAAAAAAAAAAATTTTAATCTTCGTGCATTCAACCAAAACATCTTATAAAAAGAAACGGAGAGAGTATTATTCAAGCCTTCGAATTTTGTTATCTAGTAAAGTTTGTAACGGTTAAAGTTGACGATGTGCGTATATTAGAAGGTTTCAGATAAACAAAAATAATAAAGTAACAGTAAAGATGCATAGAAATATTACAACACTATAGACAAAGTAAAATTTTCAGTAATTTTAATTTGGTTTGATATATGCCCCTTATGACTTTGTTGAATTTCATCTTTTATTAATACATGTTCCCGACCTATAAATACATGTAATATAGTTCTAAAATTTGACAAATATTTTTTTTGGCCAGCTACAAATTTATTTTACAAAATGTAACAATAAATATAAGTTATTTTTGTAACCATGAATATGTTAGGTGGCCTCGCTGCAGGCGGAGTTATCACTGGTGCAATCACAACTAATAAACAGTAGAGTCGCAATGGCCAACGTTATGCAACAACAACAAAACCAGCACCAACAACAACTAGTCGTTATGCAACAACCCGAATACTCCAACAACTCATCCGCCTCCACCACTCTTGCAGGAGCCGCCATGAACAGTTTCCCTGCGACGGCAGAAGCAGCCGCAGCCGTAAGCTATGACATCATGGCTCCAGCTAATTTAGAACATTCGTTGCAGCCTGTGCCACGGCATCAGCAAGGTAGCGGAAATCAGCAGGAGGATGAGGAAGAGAGTGGCACTGATTTTTCGGTGGCTGTTGGATCCACGGCGTTGGCTTCGGAGGTTATATTTCCGGCGGAGGGTTTTCACCGAATATGAATATATAGAACTTGTCTTTTAGTTATATATCTCCTTTTATAATGCTGAAAAAGAGAATAATATATTGTATTCACATACGTATACGGTATACCAGATATATGAAGACTTGATGTGAAATATTTTAATGAGATATATAACTATTTTAGGTCAAAAAAATAATTTTACAATGAGCTATAAACAAAAAGGAGTTTTGTTTGGTTAAAAAACAAATTTATTGTTAGGTTAGAAAATACTTCATCCATTTCATAAAGATACATATTTTATAACAGTATTTCTTTAAAATATATATTTTGTGTTTTGAATACATTTTATTAAGAGGCCTTTTATTGACTAACAATAATTAATTGTAAAAACATTAAAGTTATTTATTTATTTAATTTTTATGAAATCTGTCATTAAAATAAGTCTAGTTATTTAGCAAATACAATACAGATTATACAAAGAGATTTAGCCCTCGATATAAACCAAGAACCAAAAATCGAACTAAAACAAAAAAAAAGAAACAAAAAAAAACACGAAAACAAAACAGAATCAATATTCACAAATATCTAAACGGTTCCTATATCTTTAGAACATGAAATAGTAATAAAATTGAAACCGAGAATCGATTGGGTATATTCAGTTTTAAATTATTAAATATTCTAAAAATGCTACTTATAAACTGATCACCCAAATATTTTTCTCTGAAATATTTAATTTATCCGATTCATCTTATATTTTGTTTAAACAATCTAAAATGTGTGTTTATCTGAATTTTCCCAAATTATCCAAAAATAAAATCGAATTGAACTCAAAATTTTACCGGGTTTTCTAACGTTGTTATTCGAACCAAACCGAAAAGCAAACTAAAATCACACTTTAATTCATAAATAATCGAAAAATTCATATATATCTATTGAACAAAAAAACTACAACTGAACAGGGCCAAAACGAAAATAATCTAATCGAAAGTCACCTAACATAAGAACAAAAAATGGATTAATAAATTTATCAATAAAAAATAAAATCTAAGTTTTGAAATTACTGACCATAGTCTATTTAAGCCCATTAAAAAGGTTTATATAAAGTAAAGTTGTAAGAAACCCTAAATGGTACTTATCGCTTTGATCTCTCTGTCGGAGTTTCAGACCGAGGTTGGTGATTTTCAGTCTCTTTGTTTGGCTCAATGTTGTCTTGAACTAATCCGATTGATGTGTGTTAGGGTTAAAAGAGATGATGAAGAAGGCGAGGCCAGAGTTCGCGACATCTAAGACGATCGTGTGGTGGGACATGGACAACTTGGTTATGACCCAAGTCGAGTTGGTCCGAGAATAGACACGGAGTTGAAGAATCTAGGATACAACTAATATATTTATATTTTTAATGTATTTCTACCAATATATACATTATACATGGATACTTTCTTTATTTCCCTATCTTTATGTATATTTGACAATTTCTCCATAACCTAGATAACGTTTTTGTCGTTTGGTGGTTATAATTACACCTTACTCAAAGTTAATGAGGGTTGAAACATTAAGGTTTTAGATGTTTGTTTGCCTGATAAAAGTGAATCCACACATGATTTGAAAGCTTCAAAGCTTCAAAGCTTCAAAATTTTGTTAGACAATGACTTGTGTACCAAATATTTCATTGCGCTTAGCCCCCAAATTTTTAGATATTTTTTTATATAGATATAGGTTCCGTGATTATGAAATAAATGGCTACAAATGTACTTAAAAATTGTCTATTGACTCCCATATTTTTAGCCGGAGACAGGAAGCAAATACGAAAGAGGTAATAAGCCCATTAAGAAAGTTTATATAAAGTAAAGTTTTAAGAAACCCTAAATGTACGTATAGCGTATAATCTCTCTACCTCTCTATCGGCGTTTCAGACACGAGTCAGTGATTTTCAGTATCTTGTTTGTTTGTAATTAGCGTCTGTCTAACTGATTTTGTTAGGGTTAAAAGAGATGATGAAGAAGGTGAAGATGGCGACGCCAGAGTTCGAGACCTCTAAAACGTTCGTGTGGTGGGACATGAACAGCTGTCCGCTCCCACTTGGTTATGACCCAAGTCGAGTCGGTCCGAGAATAGACACGGAGTTGAAGAAACTAGGCTACAACGGTCCACTCACCATCATTGGCGTTGGCGACCTGGAAGGAGTCCCTCATGGCTTTCTAAACAATCACTCTTTTTCATTTATTTTTTTTTTAAATTTTAGAGCACAAAATTTAGATTTTCAACTGGCATGCAGGATCCAACATGATTGACTATGTGATTGAGGATTTGTTTGATGATCTTGAACCTCCGTTGTCAATGATGATCATAACTGCCGCCCATGCCGATCTATTGGAAGAAGTCATTTCCGAGTTTTATATACTTGACTCCCTCCATTACAATCTTCTTTTGGCTTATCCAGCCATTACCGAACATGCAGACCCTGAACCTTCTTCCCTACTAGTCGACAACTTTGGTGGAGAGTTTGTCTGGGATAGGTTTGGCTTACTGAGAGGTATGTTTTGTCTTCTCTCTCTCTCTACAACTCCAAATAAATTTTAATTATGTTGTTGGTGTTTGCACCTACAGATCAAGGGTCTGACAACAGTGATACGAGAAGACAGGACACAGGCTGTGAAATGCATTGTTGCGGATTATGCAAATTTTCTTCCGACAGCTTTGATGATTTCGCCACGCACCTCGACAGTCCCCAACATGCAGTTAAGGTAAAGCATCCTTTTATCCTCTGATTCTTTTTTTTTTTTTTAATCAATACAACTTTTCATCCTCTAATCTCTCGTTTTCCTAGGTGGATAAGTATCATATTTACCTTGAGAAGAGGTTTCTTCTTGACCTTAAAGAATTTGAGGCCGTTGAGCTTGATGAGGCAAGTTTTTTTTTTTTTTCCTCTTCTTCTTCTTAATATAGATATCTGACTCCATATGTCATGTTGTGTAATATACAGTCTTATCTTGCAAAAGTGGAGGCGAAAAGGCTAGAATTTGTCAAGCGTTCTCATGATTCTGATGATGATGTTGCTCCCGAGACTCACAAGGCAAGTTATTAGAGTTTTTTTAAAAAATACATAAAACAACTCACTCTTCACCTCTCATGATTCACTTTCTCTACAGTCAAAAACGAGATGGAAGATGCCTAAGCTTCGATCAATGGCAAGTTTTTTTTTTCTTATCCAAACTTTATCTCTTTTCTTAATCATTCATGTTTTCTCATAAACAACTATATGATTGCAGGGTAAAAAATTCAAGCTCTCCCTTCTTTGCAATTCTTCCTCTCTAAAGAAGAAGAAGAAGGCTACTTCCAAGCCCAAGAAGCAATCAAAGGCAAGTTTTTCTAACAGATTTCTCATAAACAACTATTTGACTTAACATAGACATAGACATTTTACATCTCTCATTGGTTTTGCAGGAGATCGCGGAAGAAGCTGAGCATTCATTGTCCTCTTAGACTTACGCCTGCTTTTATCTTAAAATGAAATAATATGACATAACTCCTCTTTTTGTTTTGGAATTAGTATTTATAAACATATTACACATTTTAAGTTTTTTGTATCGACGTAGTTAGAAGAAAATGTTTAGAATCTAAACATGTATGTTAGTTCTTTGTTTAATTACAAGCATCCCAATAAAACATATAATTAGCTAGTGTTCTTTAATTAGTTATTAGTTATTATTATTAAAAGCAAAAATGATAAAATCTCTCTCAAATCACCTTTTATACTTAGAAAATTTTGTCTTTAAGCTCCTTCTTGTCATTAAATAGTTTGAAATTTAAAAAATGATGTTGCAAATTAACAATATGAAATGATCTGGTCATATATATCAACATAATTACATATTATATTTTTAGAGTCTAAAAATGTCCATTATTAACTAGTTAACTACTAGGTTAGCAAATATTATATATATGTATATATATATATATATACTCAGTATTATTGGTGTACAAACTCTCTTTGTTTTTTCATTAAATAGTTCTAAATTATATTTAACTATTTTTTATTAAAATTGAATATATTTGTATTGCAAAATTTGTTGATATGACCTCTTCTAGTAGATAGTATAATTTAATACACAAACTGGCATATAAATCTTCTTCTTGATGAAAACAATATTTTTTTCTTTTTGGATAAATGTGCAATTCATCTATAAGTTATGGATCTATATGAAAATACCCAAAAACTGTGGGGGCTGATTGTTAGATTCTTTTTGACCTTTACCTTTGGTCGTTCACTCCAGAAGAATCTTATTACCCTAAAATTCTCGTTGAGTTCACTCTGTCTCCATCGCTTGAGCTTGATAGACGCTATTACATCGCCCGTTAACACTTCCGACCACTAAGACATGAGGTATGTGTTTAAGACTTTACAGCAGAGCAGACTTTAAACCCGAATATTAAGCTATGTGTTTCGTGTGATTTGTGATCTAAAGTAATCATCTTTTAGTTAGTTTACTAATGGGTTTTGCATTATAAGACACTTTCATCTTCATTTACTGTTTAAGAGTGTAGCTCCCGGACGAAAGCTGGAATCTTGTTATCGTTAAGTCATAGAGAAATGGTATTCTTTTTGTGATGATTAGAGAGCTATTGCAAAAATCTTAGAACTTTGTTATAATGATTTTACAAAGAAATCATCTTTCACTTGGTACAGTCCCTCTGTAATAATCCTTTTTCAAAGTTTGCATTTTGATGTGTTTCCGACAGTGTTATGTCTGCCTTAAGCACTCATGCTTATGTTTCTTAAAGGTTTTACTTTAGCTTTACTTATATAGGTGGCAATACAGTATAGTTACAAGTGTTGTGTTTGTATTGTATGCAGTCATAACCCGGAAGTTCTTTGGGCTCAGCGTTCTGATAAGGTTTACCTAACCGTCGCCTTACCTGATGCAAAGGACATTTCAGTGAAATGTGAGCCTCAGGGACTATTCACTTTCTCTGCTCTTGGCCCCCAAGGCAAGCTCTTTGAGTTCAGCTTGGAGCTATATGGGAAGGTTGTGCCAGTAAGTGCCCCCATTTCTCCCCTTTTGAATCATAAGAACTAGCACATACTTGTTTTTTACAAGTCTCCTATGTTATGTATGATGCAGGAGTATAGAAAGAACGTTGGGCTAAGGAACATAATATTTTCAATTCAGAAAGAAGAGAGAAGCTGGTGGCCACGGATTTTGAAATCAGAAGAGAAGCCTGCACCTTACATCAAAGTAGACTGGAACAAATGGTGTGATGAGGATGAGGAAGTTAACTGTAAGTGGTTACAAGATAAAAAATTTAAAGTATTCTCATCATCTTTGGTCATAAGTTGTTTTTAACTATAGAATCTCTATTTTTGCAGCTGAAACAGCCTCTGATGATGAGAGTGCAGTAAGTGCTTTTTTCATAATTGATTTGTATGTTTGTTTAATGTTTAGCTAAGCCACTTCGGTTAATTATTTTTACTTCTTTTTGTTCATAGTTTGTTGATGAAGATGAAAGCAGTGATGATGATGGATTGCTCTGTAAGTTTCAACAACCTTTAATCTCTGGACTATTTAAATATGATTGATCTTACATTAAAGTTTGTTATTTGATCTCAGATCTTCCAGATCTGGAGAAGGCAAGAAACAAATAGCTAACCATCAACAACCAACTCTGTTTAGGAAGCTGAAGAAAAAAAGAAGCCAAAAAGATTTAGAAGTGAAGCAGAGTGGTTTAGGATGATCCGGTTTGTTTTGTACTTTCAGTAAACCAAACATTTAGTTCTTGAGGTTTACCTCTGATTTAGGTTTCTTAGGGGGAGGAGTCATCTTTAGTCTGAATATTGTGACACTTTTATCTAATGCTTAAAGATTAATTGGTTTGAACTATTTGGTTGCCCAAGCCATCAACAACAAACAATAATAGTAAAAATAGATATACTTCTTCATTTTTTCTGCAATCTAACGCTTAACTGAGAAAAGTGCAACTGTTATTAATTATTATGTATTCCCCTTGAACACTCACAAGCCCTATTAGCTCAGAAATTGCATTAAGTCAAAGATACACACACGACTTATAAGCTCAGTTCCAAATCAAACTAGTTGCCAAAGTTTTTAGCATTGTGTAAGTAGTTTACATGAGCAAGAAATCTGGTGAAATGTTGTCTCCTAGCTCCTTGGAACCCTCCACAGAGCAATTCCCCTCTTTGACTAGCTCCTTGGAACCCTCCACAGAGCAGTTCACCTCTTTGCTGGGTTTCAGATGGGAAAGTCTCTTCTTGATTTTCCAAAACGGATGTTCAAATGCAGCAGTGGGCATACTCATGATGGACAGGAAGGCACCCTTAAGGAGATAAAACATGAACAAAACCAAGACATTGATTCCATCCCAGATTATCTTGGCCAATATTTTCCCCTGCAAGGACATGAATCTCAGTGTAATTAAATGACTAAAGTTAATTAGGTAGCTAACACTCATGTCTACTCATGACTAACCTTATCCACCACATCTCTGCAGAAACTTAGGGTTTTCTCACTTGCGAGTGTGACTTTTGATTTGGCTAACACAGCTCCAGTGACCTGAAATTTTTTCAAAAATGGCAAACTCTATATATGTATCAGTTAGACTAAAAACAACATTGAGTGAGGTGTTATAGTTTAAAGGACTTACAATACTATCAACAACAACATTGAAGATGTAAAAAGCAGCTATCAAGAACCGGCATCTCATAGACAAGTGAATAGAGTGTTTATCAACAATCTCTCTGCCCAGCTGTCTTAGCAAACGGTGCATTATAATGATTTCGTCACTCAGTATACTTATGAGAGCTCTTTCAACAAGAACCTCAAGTCCAAATTTGACATCTAGACCACAGTTTCCAAGAAACTGCATCACAGAATCAACTCTTTTGCCTTCAAATAAACAAGCAATGTGGAGAAATATAGCTTTGACTTTATCATCTAAGCCATTGTAACCAACTATTAGGACTTGTTCAATGTCCCTGTTGAGACTTTCTTTGATCCTAGATAGTTCATCAGCCCACCTGCTCATGCTCTTTCCACACAATGCATTGCCAAGAACACATAGGCCTAATGGAAGATGACTTGTTAGTTCTGTTACTTCAGCTGCAAGCTTCAAATATTCCTCTGGGGGAGGATTTTTTGGAAAAGCATAGTGAGAAAAAATCTTTAGAGCTTCATCTTGAGATGGGAATTTCACTGGATATATATGATCGATCCCATGTCTTTCCAAGAGATTTTTATCGTCTGTTGTCACGATGATCCTACTTCCTTGACCAAACCAGTGAGTGTCCTCTGCCAAAGCTTTTAGTTGCTCTATCTTATCCACATTGTCAAGAACAACAAGGACTTTCTGGTACTTCAACCTTTCTTGAGCTGTACTTAAATGCTCTATCTCCATATCCTTATGGTTCAAAATCTTTGAAAGGAACTCTCTCTGCAACCTCTGCATTGAAGTATCCATGTCAGAATCATAACTCTTGTAACTTCTTTTGACATTATACATGAAGACACTGCGCTGGAAGTTTCTTGAAATCTGATTGTATATGGCTCTTGCTATTGTTGTTTTGCCTATCCCCAAGGGACCCCAAATCCCAACCATCCTTGTTTCAGCTGATTCTAGGCATAACTGTGAAGTCATCTCTGCTAGGTGAGCTTCAATTCCAATTAGGTGATCAAAGTCCCTTGATGGTGTGATGTTCAACTTGTTAGAAACATCTGAGGCAATCTTTGAGATCATATATGCTTCACTGTTCCTGTTCCTGAGAAGGGAGAAACTTTGGTTCCTCCATCAGAATGTTGCACAATGAATCACATATAAGCAAGTATACTATTAAATTTGTTTAATTGTTAACTTCTCCCTGATTTTAGATAATTTGATTATTTATATGTTTTTATGATTTCATTGATTGGATAATTATTTTCATTTTAAAAATAGTTTATATTAATTAATCATAAACTAAAAATTTCAATGACTGGATGATTATGATATTTATATATTTATCTTAAAGTATATGTAAAATTATTATGTCCGCACACATAGACAAAACACCTAGTACACATATATACAATTTCGAAAGTCAAACCGATATAGCCAAAAAGATTTTTAAAAATCTTATATATGAATTGATTAAATTGATCTAAATCAATCTATAACTTTTAAATAGAATAATAGTATTAGTGAAAATCCACAAATTAATCTACTTTTTGTACAATTTTATAATTAAATTCAAAAACTCAAATATATAATAAAATGTAAAATATATTAAAAATAATCAATAATTCATGAATGAACATTATATATTATGAGATAATGATAACAGAATGTTTCAAGGAGAGCACCAAACCTTTGATCATTTGAATCTTCTCCGAGTATGTTTCCGACATTAGTCAAAGCTTGCTCCCATCTCTGCTTCTGCTCTTCTGTCGCTTTCTTACAAGTCTTCATAAATCCCATTCCAAATTCTCCGGTCTGTTTTCTTACATCAGACGGCTCAACGTCATAGAAAACTGTCATTACCGTTTTACCAGAAGCTTGCCTCGACTCCATGATCTCAACTAACTCCTTCAGAGTCCAGCTTGAAGCAGCGTAGTTCTTAGAGAGGATGATGAGGCAGATTCTTGATTCTCTTATAGCTCGTTTGAGCTCAGGACTGATCTCTTGGCCTCTCTCGATCTGATTGTCTCTGAAAGTGTTGATCCCCTTGCGGTCAAATTCATTGAGCAAGTGGCTGAGAAACTTCTTACGCACGTCTACACCTCTGAAGCTTGGGAACACATCGTATCCCCCATGAGGAGAGGCCAAAGAAGAAGAAGAAGAAGAAGAAGAAGAAGAAACATCCATTAGAGAGAATAAAAGAGAAGCTTCTATTGTTGTTGTTGTTTTTTTGTTTCACAATTGTTAACATGTGATTGTTAAATATAGCTTTAGGATTGAACAGATCTCAGGAGACTCTCTTCAGACGTGGAGGCAGGTCTTTAGAATATAATATTGATTGCTTGTAAGATCCATTTCTGACTTAGAGTATTAAAAGTAAACGCAGACGGCTCTAACTAGCGTTAATAAACGCAAATGATTACTCATATCTTATCCACACGAATAAGAAAAACTCATATCATATCCACACAAAGCTATCAAGACAATTGAATAATGGATTTAAAATTTATAATTCGTCACTGAAATCTCTGTGGCCGAGTCAGCTTTTATACATTGGTTTTATAGTTGAAGGGCGTGAATGTAATGTGGCTTATACACATTGTGATTTTAGGTTACCTTGTCTGGCAAGAAAGCTTTGGGAGCAGATACAGACATTTGTTTGTGTTTAATTCAATTCTGCATGTAAGAGACACAGTCCCAAAATAAGAGTATTTGAATAGTGATCTGTCATCAACAATATTTTATCTTTTTTGTGGTTAAGGAAAAACTGCATCAAATATCATATAAGATCTGAACCGTTGACCCTAACCTTACGTGTCTAACAAAATTTTTTTTTGTGCTCTGGTTTGTGCGGTAATGAAGCGCTTCCTCTCTTCTTCTCTTTAGATGATATTTTTCTTTTCTATGATTTAAAAAGGGAGAAAACTAAAAGAAAGAGAACAAGAGAGATCTGGGTTTATCTGATAAAACCAGGTTTGCTTTCCTTCTTGAGTTTTATTTATGCATGTTTAGGTTATATAAATATATTTTTGCATGGGAAATGGAGTTTGGTTGATTGTTCAGCAAGTTTTTCTTTCTCTTGTCTTATAGATTTCTTCTTCTCTAACCAAGTTCTCCGACAATGAACGACCTCTTAAAGGTTTGTCTTTATCTTTCCCTTCCAACTTTTCTCCGTTTTGCTTTGGACATTACGTGATAAATCACGACCATTATGTTCTAACTTCTACCCCAAGCAACGTTTCCTTTGTAATTAAACTTAGAAACTCTTAGGGCTTTTTGCTTGGGTTACACGTTATGTATGATATGACGTCTCATTACAATTTCTTAAACATTAATCGCTTATAGGATGATCAAAATTCAAAATATTGAGATATATATACAAACAGATGATGTGACAAACGCTTTTTATTGAACAGGGCTCGTTAGAGTTCTCGAGAGATCGATCTAATAGAAGCGATATCGAGTCAGCACATGGACCAGGTAACTCTGGAGATCTCGGCCTCGCTGGTTTCTTCAAAAAGGTATACGTTTCATCCCTATTGTAAACCTTCTCAATCTATGTCAAAATGTGTATATATGAGACCATATCAATTTGTTTAGGTCGGAGAAATCGATAAACAATATGAGAAGCTTGACAAGCATCTCAAGAAGCTTCAAGCGGCACATGAGGAGACTAAAGCCGTCACTAAGGGTCCTGCAATGAAATGTAATTCAAAATGAGTTTTGAATGTTAAAGTTTTTGAAACAAGTTCTTGATTCAAGATTTAGATGAATTGAAATATGTTTTTCTTGTTATGTAGCAATCAAGCAGAGGATGGAGAGAGATGTTGATGAAGTGGGAAGGATCTCTCGTTTCATCAAAGGAAAGATCGAAGAACTTGATAGAGAGGTTAGGTTTCTTAGAGATGAATACATTGTTGCTTCTCTTTATATGTTCTGAATTGATTTCCACAGAATTTGGAGAACCGGAGTAAACCGGGTTGTGGGAAAGGAACAGGAGTAGACAGAACAAGAACAGCCACAACTATGTGAGTTTATTTTTTCTTGAATCTATTGCTACGTTTCAAGATTCTGTCCCTTTCCTTAATATGTTTTCTATCCGCAGCGCGATAAAGAAGAAGTTTAAGGACAAGATATCTGAATTCCAAGTAAGTTTTGAGAAGTGGTTCTTCAAGTAAGAAACTTGTCCTAACCTTTTAAAGTTTGTTCATTGCAGACTCTACGACAAAACATTCACCAAGAATACAGAGAAGTTGTAGAGAGGCGTGTGTTTACAGGTTTTGAATTGAGAATCTATCTAAAGGCTCCACTGTTTCATTGATGATCTTTTGATAGCTATTTTTGTTTTATGTTTTGATTCTTGGCAATGGTAGTGACTGGCCAACGAGCTGATGAAGAGGCAAGAACTTATAGTTATTTTTTTCTCAATTTAAATCTATTGAACTGGTTTTAGTATCGGTTCATGATAATCGTTTTTGGATGTGTAGATGGTTGAACGATTGATTGAAACCGGAGACAGTGAGCAGATTTTTGAGAAAGCAATCATGGAGCAAGGAAGAGGCCAGGTTTGTATTTATGTTTAGGCAATAGCATGACTACCTAAGCAACAAGACAAAAAGTTATGTGTGTCAGTTAAGTTATTTTCTGGCTCTGTAGATAATGGATACACTAGCTGAGATTCAGGAACGCCATGATGCTGTCAGAGATTTAGAGAAGAAACTCCTTGACCTACAACAGGTAAACCTTACTCTGATTTAACCAAAATTTCTCGATCTTTTCGACATCTGAGTCTCTTTCTGTCTTTGGTTGGTAGGTGTTTCTTGATATGGCTGTGCTGGTGGATGCACAGGGAGAGATGCTAGACAACATAGAGAATATGGTAAACAGTGTCTTCATTATGATCTTTAATGAAACCCTGAGTTTATATTTTTTTTTTCCAAAACCCTTATTGCTCTGTTTCTGCTGTAACAGGTCTCAAGCGCTGTGGATCATGTTCAATCCGGGAACAACCAACTAACAAAGGCACTAAAGAAACAGAAAAGTTCAAGGAAATGGATGTGCATTGCCATCCTCATCCTTCTTATCATTATCATCATTACCGTTGTCTCTGTTCTCAAACCATGGACAACGAAACATGGTGCACATGGTGCTTAGGGTTCTCTTCTCCCTGCCCTTCTGTAAACAACTGTATGACATACATGTACTAACGCATCAAACAACATCCTTCCACTGTCACTAACAAAATGATGTATTCTTTTGATTGGATCAATGAATGACTTAACTATTATAATACCATCTCAGTGAACATCCCAGTCTAGTGAATGTGGAGCGAACCAGGAGTCAGGAAGTGAAAATATCAAATACTGTTGAAATTTACTTTTTATCTTTCATATCTGTAGTGTGTAAAAACAAATCCAGAAAAATCTATTGTAGAAAAAGAGACAAAAGAATCTGAATGAACCTTTATCAGCTTTACAATGAATGTGGAAAAAAAAAAACAGAGATACCTCCAGCCTCAGATTTTCTTCATGGGAAGACCTTAGAGAAGGATGAAGCATAACGGTCGTCCTTTGCTGCATAAGGACACGCTTCGAGGCAATACCAATATCTTCGAGAAAGCTTTGAAGTATATAAGAGTACGCAACTAATTTGCAAGAAACTACCACCAAAAGAATAAAACTAAAAGCTTATTCTCAGTAACTAGAAAACAAGAAAAAAAACCTCTGTTTGTTTGCTTCTTCGCCTTGTCACACACCTGACGGCAGAATTTGCATTGTTGTCAAATTAGTCATTGGGATCCCATTCTTCATCCTGGTCAAAAGCTGAAGCTACCTTACTCTTGGCAAAGTCTTCTTCAGTTTCTGACTGTTCAGTGAGAAGGTCATGTTCATAATCAGGCTGATCACCATCATCAGTTTTACTCTTTTCAGCCCCAGCTGATTTTATCCATTTGGGGCATTCATCCTCACCTCCATAGAGAAATCTGCCATCATCACTTCGTATTTGTCTGGAATCTTCAAGGGTAGATGTTCTGCATGAGCATTCAGGAAGTGGATGCGAAAGAAACAACCTGGGTTTCGACAGCATAGACTGCCTGATAAGCCCACTTTCACCCAAACTTGAGTTAAGATGTTCCCTCACACGAACTGTCCAGTTTCGGTCGGGATGGTACATGTCCTCACGGGTAATGTTGAAAAGTTGTTGAATAACTTTCCTGTTTTAGAAAAAAAAAAAAAAAAATTTCAGCAAACAGCCATTACGTAATTTGCAACAGAGGCTCCATGAAGTAGTAAGCTAAAGCCAACAAGCTCCACATAAAATTCAAATGCTTTCTTACCTGTCCAGTCTATATGTTCGTGACGAGGGTCTTTCATAGAGCCTCTGACCCATTACCAAACTAGAAAAATCTGGCAACCCACTACCATCGTTGTTGAAACCAGGGAAAAACACATCAGCTTCTACAGATACAACAAAGTCAAGTGCATCCCACAGTAGCCTGTGTGCTTGATTCCTAAGATCCATAGGTGAAGGGGTTGGTTCTGTATCATTCTCTGTAAGCCAACCATACCACCCTTCTTTTTCATGCTGGTAGATAGGTCTGTCTGGAGGAGGAGGGAGAGGTCTAGGCCGAGGACCTGCTTTGTTCCACTCTTCTTTGAGCTGCTTATCGCTTTTTCTAGGAGGCATTTCGTATGTATTTTCTGGAAGAGGTGTCTCAGGACCAACCAATTCTGATAATTCTTCCGTGCTGCATAAAGAAGTCCGATCCACTAAATGAGGGAACATGGCACGCAGAGGAATCAACACGCGATGGCCGCCAAACATTTCGGAACCAGCTAAGTATATAATCGCTTTTTGAGAATAACCCAATGCTTTCAAAAGAATTCCAACCTGCGATATTTCAATACCAATAAACTCTTAGCATCACAATAGCCAATGCAGTTCCATCAGAACAGCAGTAAGGAAATGTCTAATTGGTGTTGCATATGAACCACATGTAAACGGCGAAATTTTATGATGCTGCATCTATATATCTTCGTTAGAAACTCCAAGAAAAACACATAGAAATGTTTCCAAGGAAGGCTTCAAGAGACAAAATGAAGGCAGACGTAAAGGCTGTTAAGATATACAAATGTGTCCATATTAAGCATTTTTTGTATAAACTGAGAGAAGCTCAGTGTTTTACCTCTTCTGGCATGAGAGGACATAAGCCATTGTCCTTGCGCAAGTGTGAGTCTACAATAAGTTCTTCTGAAATAAACTTCTGCCTGATCATCTGAGCCCGCCGATACTGAATGAGTTCACTGTGAAGATCCTTTAAAATAGAAACGATGATGTAAGAAACTAACTCCACCGTTTAAAAATACTTCCCCATGTAACTCGAGCGCAAATGGTAGACATAAAAAAGAGTTTCTGATATAAACACTTTGTTTTATCAACGAATAAAGATGGAGAAGGTTCAAAACTTTTACCTGGAAAAGCTCAGCACAACCATGATATGCCAATTTGTCCCTCACTAAGCCAGGATGATAAGCTAGGAAGGATTGACCTGATCTACGTAACCTGGTAATGTCAGGGAAGAACGGTTATCACAGAGTAGATGTACAAATCGTGACGATAAGTATAGTGGCTTTTAGTTATGTAGTACTCCACCTCACGATCCCAAGCTAAGTTAAAAAGGGTAAACCCTGCCACTTATTTATTAGTGTTCTCAGCTAGGTAGCCCATGATTAAAGAAACAAAAGCTTAGCATGTGATATTCTTTCCCTCCCCCTATAAGCAAGAACCATAACTATACCCTCTTCTAGTCCCTTTCGCCAATTAAATTTGTAAGTGCAAGTATCACAAGTACCTTTCAACCATCTTCTTTCCCAGCACCTGAATTTCTGAGCGAAGCTGGAGGGCATGGAAGGCAACTCTACACCTTAGTCTTTGAAGTTCAGGCATTGAAGCTGGCAAAGTTGACTGAAAACAAGACAGCTTTCTTGAGGATAAAAACCTTTGATCAACCAATATAATTACTTGTTACAATTAAACAACCAAAACATAATATGACGAGTGATGGTAGTTTGCAAGCAGAAAGATATCTACTTAAAGATCTCACTGGAAGGGAGTAAAAGCATTACCTGCAAACATCCCCCATCAGAGACGACCAATCCAATAACACTCGCTTTCTTTAGTTTTGGCAAAACTTCCTCGAGGTAAAATTTTGTTGATGCAGAGTTTTTGGGCTTAAAAAGAGGAAACTCATTCCTTTTTCTAGCGGCTTTCAAGTTCTCAGGGAGGACCTTCGCAATGATAACATCATTTTTGAGAAAGGATATAAACTGCTCTTCATCATAAAGATAGGAGAAACTCTTGAACTTGTTGCTGCACATCATGTAAAAAAAATACACTAGAGTAAACACAAGTCTGATACCCAATGCAAAGAAAGATGCTTTAACAGAACATACACTTAAGGGGTACTACCTAATGCCTTTTGAGCGAAGACTTTCTTGAAGCTCTGGAATGATAAGAGTAGCATTCAGAAGCCTGGAGATGGTGACAAGATCACATATCTAGAACATTAAAAAACGCGTTATCAACATGAATAACAGAGAAAAAAAATAAACATGGATTTTAAAACTATCAAGTAGATTGATACATACAGAAGATCTGATCTTGTCAAATCCACCAAATATCTTTGCATAAATGAAGCCATTGTTTATAGAACTTGGCGCTGCAATAAAAGAGAAGACCAAGTTCAAACAAGTATCGACAACAACATACAACATCCATAATCGCTTTCATGTCTCACTCAAATAGTATGATGAAAAATAGAAAAAACAAAACTGGTACACTTTAGAAACAGCAAATGACCAATGCAGAACAACAGAACACATATCACAAACAAAGTAAGACACAAATAGTAACAGTAGTACCAGTATAACTGTTTCTAGGATTGGCATAAGGCTGCAAAGTCTCCAACGACTTGACAGGTCGCCACAAGTGCTTATTTCTAAAATCCTGCAACAAACATTTAAAACAATATTTCTCCAAATTGAAAACCAAATTCAATTCCTTTTGTACTAACTAAGTGAACAAAACAACAATTAAACAATATCCTCCAAAACTAAAACAAAAATTCAATTTCTTTTGCACTAACTAAGTGAACAAAACAACACTTAAACAATATCCTCCAAAACTGAAACCAAAATTAAATTCCTTTATAACTAACTAACCTGAGCAGCACCTAACAAAGAATCAAAATCTTGCCAAAGAGTGCCTCTTGAATAAGAAGCCAACTGTACAGAAGAAGACTTTGTAATCGAGAGATGAACAAGAAGAGACCCCACTGATAAAATGAGCACTAAAAGTGCTATCCATTTTATCCTCGATCTGAACATCATCCTCCTCCTCCTCCCACCACCACCACCAGCTCGTTAAATCGAGCTCCTTTCCTCAACTAAACAACCCTAAAATCCAAAATCCAAATTAATCAAAAAAAAAAAAAACACTGAAATTGGAATTTAACAAAAATCCTAAATTCGAATTTTACCCAATACAAGGCGAGATCCAGGAATATGATCGCTGAAACAGCTTCGAATTCGCTTTAGGATCTGATCAAAAAGTGGAGATTTCTCCACAAACAAGCAACCCGTGCGGGTAGGCAGAAGAAGTAGTTTTTGAATTGAATTTTGAGTCAGATCCAGAGAGACTATTATGAGACAATTCACTGACACATTCCCAGAATTCGAAGGAACTGAGTTTTTTAATATTTGTTTTTTCTGCAACAGAGTGAGAGAGAGAGAGACAAGTCTGCATCTTTTATATATGAACTCACACTGTTAACTACTAACCGGTTTAGATTTCGGTTTAAGCTATTAAGCTACATAACCGGTTCATAATAACATTTTACGGTTATTTTTGAGCCAAACCAATAAACTTTTGCATCTAAACCCAAATTGTTTTGGCGGTTTAAAACCTAAATAAACATATTCCGGGTCTTGCTTTGAAGGATCCACAACACGGTATGGTGGTTTAGGTATTAACCCGGTTTGGGTGTTTATTTGATTATGATTCGCTGATTCTGTAGATAAACATGGAAAATCTTTTGGATTTTGGAAGTATGTAACGGTTATTAAACATATCTGAGAAATATATTTTTGTCTGATTCAATTGTTCATTACACAAAATTGTCATTTACTTTGAGTTTTCAATCTTTATGATCAAATATTTCATATTAGAAAGATGAAAAAATGTCATTTATATATGTTTATGTACAGTAAAAATTGTTAAAATGTTTTTTTTTCAGATGATGATCATCCTTCTTGGATCTGAGAAGTTATAGTGAAAGATAAGGGGTCGTCAAGCCACCCATAGGACAACTAAAACCGAATTATTCTTCAGCTTTATTTAGAAGAGCTTGAAACTGGTTCAAGTAAGAGACTGGCACAATGTATCTTTAGTTCTTCTTCTGGTCCTCTCCTACGTACACCGCAAGAAACCTTTTTGGTGCCGAAGTTGGTTTACTTGCTCCTGCTAGAGAGACACTAAGAATCTTATTTACAGCCAAGAAACCTCTTGCCAAAGCCATTTTTTTTATCTTTTCTCAAAACTTGATTATGGAGTTTTCTTGGATTGCTTGTTGTTGTTGATGGTATTGATTCTGCTTTGGGTCTCTATATATAGATATACAAAGCGTTTTGTGGGACATACATAAGAATAGTGTTTCACATGGTTATGTTTTCTCATATGCTATATATACTTGAAGAACATGATTAGATATTGGTTTTATATGCTCTTGTTTCTTCATGTTTCACAATGAATCCTTTGTCCTCTTCTATGGTTGAAATTGAGTTCTCATTACAAAATCTTTCTACTAGAGGCAAAACATATGTGGGGACATCTAATTAAGTGCTTTTTAACCATATTCAGATATAGGATCACATGAAAATGCTATAGAGGAAAGTTAATAACTTATGTGGCTAATTTTTTTTTTGTCTCTTTCTCTTTGTGGTACTGATATGATCATGAAATGAACACAATCATAATAAGATCAATGGAGGGTCCCCACTGTTACTGTTGGAGACAAAGTCATATGGTTGATTTGATGAGAGACAAAGTCACTTCACATTCATCAGGTGCACAAATAAAGTTTTCTTGTCTTCACTATAATAGAGTAACTAAGAAAATACACAACTAACTAGTAAAAAAATGTTTATATTAACTCTCTTTTCAAAGGGGCTAAACTGTGTTACCTTGGAGAGAAAGAGCCAGAGAGACGCAAAAGTAGATTAAGTGATCCATCTTCATACTTAAGACAGACTCAGTTACAAGATTCAATGCAATGAAGAAATTTGTGATAGCGATGCAAGTTCAGTTAATCAATATATGAATATGATAGATGACAGACTAAAACACTAAAGTTTGTTTTCACTAAAAAAATTAAATTGCTTACCAACAAAACAAGAAATCTCTGACACACGATCATGTTTTTGAACATTCAACAACTAGATCACATGTAATTTACGGTCATAGGGAAGCTTGGAATAGTCTTCTCATGTGTGATACTTTAAATATAAGTGAGAGAGCTTTTGCAGATATTCTATGGGGGTAACGATAACATGCAAATGGTCAAAGGTGTATCAATTTTTAGCTTTCCAGACTTGAGATTTGGTCTTCTATATTTTCATAATATATGGTAAGAAATCATAACTCAATCTTATCGAATTTGGTAATAAATAATCACGATTTTCTTTTACCTTGACCCAAAAAGAGAAGTCTATTGTTGTTCCACACTATAAGAATGGTTCAACAATCTTGGATAACATCTCATCATCATTTCATATGTAATATTCACCACAAGTAAAATAATGACGACAAAAGCATCAGTGAAGTTTGCTTTTGTTTTCTTCTTAGCCATTACATCGGGTAAAATTCATTTTTCATATGTAGTATTAATTATTTAATATTTAAAGTTTTATTGATAACATGTATATAAATATTGGTGTTGTAGTGGTGAGCATCATAGCAGTTGCAGATGTTGAAGCAGAACAGATAGCACCAGAAGAAGCTCCTTATGTTTTGTTGTATCGTAAAGACTCTTCATCAAAAGAAGCTACTCCACAACGTTTTACAATTAGATGCGACAGATCTAAGTGTCAAGTAATCTGTACGATTCGATGTTTTTGTATATGCTAAGCTTAGTATTTTGATCATTAAATCGAATAATATAAAATATGTATTCACTGATAAAATAAAAGCTTACTTGTTGGCATACATTGAACAGAATAACTAGCATGTTGTCTACCCTAAATGATCGCAATTATTAGACAAAAAGTGTACTAATTTTATGCAATCATATCACATGAACAAATCTGAAAAACATCGTTGACTTGTGTGTTGACCAATGAAATATTTTGAGCCGCTGTGGGCTGAAATAAGGCTTTTGATAGGGCCCGTATGCTGATTAAAACGCAACACTTGGAGAGACCGAGAGAGAGACATAAGTAGGTCCCACTAAATTATGTTTTGTCTGAATATGAAAAATTAATAAAAACTTGGGAAAAAAGACAAAAGGTAGAAAAGATCCGGGATTTGCCCCAATTCGTGAGACATTAGGTTTTGTTCTTTCACCAATTCATTATCTTTATAATCACTCTGTTCAATTCAACCTTCTCCTCCACCAATTACCGCCATGGATTTCAAGATTCCGATCCTCCTCATCATAGCTATGTCATGCTTTCCCTTTGGGTTCACTTCATCATCGCCGCCGGTTTGCAATCATGAATTCGAGCTGTTCCGGTTCGATTTCTACTCCAAATGCTCTGCTTCTATGTATCCAACGCCTCCTATTGAGGTCAGGCTCTCTCCTTTAGGGTTTGTTTGAATGCGTGTGTGCCAATTCAATCTTTAAGCTTTCTTCACGCTTGCTTTGATGAGTTAGATGATCTTCTTATGGTTTATTTCGGATTTAAAAAATTGAATTACGGTCAATTGGAGCTTTTGATAGCTATTGAGCAGAGATGCTCTTATGTTCTTCTATGTTTCTGTTTAATTTTGTATTATTAGTGTCAATTCAAATTATTATTATTTTTTTATTAGTGTCAATTCAAATTATTGATCCAATACTTTTGACATTTATTTAAAACATGATTGGTTATGTTTCAATGTTTTACTAGTGTCATCATCTACTGTGGAAACACCTTATGATGCATAATAGTGTAGTTTCTATGCCTAATGTCTGCAGAGATAATTTAACAGTATTAAAAATAAGTTTCCTAGGCTCTCTCAAGTCACAAGAGCGGACAATTGGGTCTGAAGTTTTGTTTGTAACTAAATCAGTGTTTAAATTTGCAATATGCAGGTAGATGGAGATTCACTTGATAGGTTAATGGCTTTGAACCATGATGGAGATGCTTTGATGTCAGTGCTCTTTTATGCTTCCTGGTGCCCCTTCTCACGTGCTATGCGCCTTAAGTTTGATATGTTGAGTTCCATGTTCCCTCAGATACAACATCTAGCCGTGGAGCATTCTCAAGCACTACCATCGTAAGCAGCCTACTTATTACTTTTTTCCTATGAAGACTACATATTCTTTTCCAATACTACTTAGTATAGCTAGGAGGTGGATTGAACGACTCACTTCCAAAAAAATTGGTTACTTATAGTTTACTCGGGAATAAGTAGATCTTAGATTGCTCCTTAGTTTTTTCATAACTTGCACCATATAAGGTGGTTCTGATAGATAGATTAAGTTGTTCCCTAATCATATTTTTATTGATGTAGGATCAGTTTGTCTACATGATACTGTGAAAGTAATGCTAGGTGTATTTTGTGTTATTTATCTTACATTTCATTAACAAATATTCATTTGATTTATCTATTGCTTAAGATGATGGGAAAATTAAGCTACTATGTTTGCGGTTACTTTATCTTACATTTCATTGAAACTTATTAATTTAATTTATATCAACAAATATAGGTTAGCTAATTCATCATTACCATGTCTCCTTTAGTGGGTTCCTCTTCCATGTGGTTGGCCCTTTTCCTTTGTCTTACTAACTTGATTTTATTAACTGATTTGTTGCAGTGTCTTTTCAAGGTATGGTATCCATAGCCTACCTTCAATCCTGATGGCTAATCAAACTTCAAAGTCACGATACCATGGTCCAAAAAATCTTACATCCCTGATTGAGTTTTATGAGGAATCAACAGGTGATTCTCTACACCTCGTATTAGCTATGTTACATTTTGAGTTTGAAAAATTCAATCAATAATAACTGATGATTCTTTCGGTTTTTCAGGTCTCAAACCTGTTCAGTATGTGTCTGAACCGGAACCATCAACCAGCTTAGACCTTACAGATGGTAACCTGATCACATGGTTACGCAAAGGGACATCTGTTAGTGAAATATTCAAACAAGATCCATTCCTGGTGCTGTCTCTACTGTTTGTCTGTTTACAAATGGCAATCCTCGTCTTCCCCATGGCAGAGCCGCGTTTGAAAGCGTTGTGGGCTTCTTATGTTTCCAATCTGAATCTAGAAAGATTTGGAGAGGTAAGCCAAGTGTTCAGGCGTGCTCTTCACGTGGTAGATGTGAGGAGGCTGTGGTTGAAACTAACACTCATCAAAACAAGGAGCTTCCATGAAAGAGCAAAGAATGCTCAAGCATGGGCTTCATCGCTAGCATCTGTCTCTCTAGGCCAAACTTCATCAAGCTAGTCGTTGATCCCTAAGGCTTTGAGTGTGTTCGAGTTCCCTCTAATGAAAAGTTTTTTTTCTGACTTTTGAGTTAATTTGTCTGCATGAAAGCATGTATATCCAGGAACAGCTTTGTTTATGTTTTGTGAATATTATTATCTTTCTCTCTTTTTGGTTTTATAAAAAGTTGAGATGTCTGTTTTTATGCCTCATTTCTTTTATTGAATAATTTGACTGAGTTGGTTAAAATTTGTCTGAATGTTCAGGAAACTTAGTATTGTAATGTTTTTGTATAGCTTTTGACAGTTTTCTTACTTTTTTTTCTACATTTGATCTCTCCTATTCTTCTCCTTTTTTATAAGGCGAGAGACTGGTTTTGGAACTTCATTATTTGTCATGTTTTTTTGTCTTTTGTACATGTCTTTAGTTCTTGTTGATGTCTACAAAGAAGAGTGGAAAAACATTACATGATGGTATGATATTACCGTTGGTTCCTCTGGATAAGATGAAATAAATCCAAGATTAAAATAAATATGGTTGGTAAGATGAGCTTATTAAACATTCCATGTCATTAAAACATCCAGATTGATGTCAATTTAACTTGTGATGATTTAGCTTTATACTATGTAAAGTAGTTTTTATTTGTCTTTGGAATTTGTTAACCTTAGTATGATCAAAAGTTAGATTCATCAAAACAATAAACAGCAAAAAAAGAAGAAAAAAAATTTGGTTGTTGAAGGTTATCACCCTAGCAAAGTCGACAACAAAATAACAGGTTGTGAGAAAGAAGAGGAGACAAATTAAAGACGTTGAAATCAAAAGTCAAGTGAGACACAATAGTTTGCGATAGTCTTCCCGAAGTTAACGAACTCAATTCGAATCTCTTGTTTTCCTTCCACCTTGGTCCATATGAAAGCGCCAGTCTTCTTTCTTGATTCTCCTAATTTACGTAAGATGAAAATGGTCACTTTTCTAGGTGCATGTATTCTTTCTTTGCATTCAGCACACCCACGACGGAGACGAGATTCACCAGTGAGACACGATATCAACCTAGCAAACCCAACTTTCTCGGGAGGAGGGGGAGGAACTCGAACAAGAGTATTTTTTCCTCGAAGATAGCTCGACAGAAGCCTGTGACGAACCTTGGGAGAATGCAAAACCATGTAAGACACAAAGTCGGCACAGCACTTTTCACAGAGCACTACATAATCAACATCTTGTTGGTTCCAAAGACAAGACCATCTTTTCGACAAAACGCTCGTAGCCGCAGCCTCTTTTGTTGGAAGCAATGACAATATCTTCATCAATACATCATCGGGTAGTTCACTGATATTCCTGATCACACTGAAACATCAAAACATAGTTTAGTTATTACAATTAAAAGATCCCACATAATCATATCAAAACTTCCTAAAACCCTAGAGACTATTGTTAATAACGTATCATATCAAGTTTCGTGCCAAACCATCTTAGCCAAGATGTAATGATTCAACTTCAGAATCTCAAAGATGGAAAGGTAGAGTGATCTTACTCTGTTTGTACTGGATTTGGACAGAGAGAAACAGCCGGCTCCATCGTAATTATCTCCGATAATCACCACCCTCGTCTCTTTAATTCGTTCTAATCGTCTGAGGAGGAAGATTAATAAGAGATTCAACTAATGGGCCTTTTAGACAGGCCAATTAGTATATTGGTAATGGGTTATTAACTACTAACTGGGCTTTGAGAAATGCTCTAAGCAACTTAAGCTTCTTGGGCTTGTTCTCTTTATTATTTTTAATGTATTTATATAATATATAAGAAAGTTTTTTAAGTAAAACTTATTTTTTGGAAATTACTTTTTTATTCTTATATATGTATTTGAAAGACTCAGTATACAGCGACGGTTAATATTAAGCTAACATGTTGATTTGGTTTCTTCTTGTCATTGTCCTGTTTTGAATCTCATTTAAGGTAATTAAGACCTTTGTTTATGATGTTTTGGCTGTGGGGTTGATTATCTTTCAGCTGCCGACTTGTGTCTCTGGGATTAGGGTTTCTTCTAATCGCCGGTTTATTTCTTTCCATTGCTTCGATTTTGGTTTTTGTGTTCAAGGTCTGTAATCTCCCTTGTAAAGGTTGTTAAGTTATGTTTGAATGATAAAACAACAGACGACAAAAAAAAATATATGTATTCGGAATACATATTCCCATAATCTTTGAGAAGCACAACTATTGGTAGTATTGTTTCTCGATTTAACCGTGACATTTTAGCCACTCTTGAGTTAATTTCTCTGCATGAAAGCATGTAAATCCAGGGACAGCTTTGCTTGTGTTTGTGAATATATCTTTCTCTCTTTTTGGTTTTATAAAAAGTTGAGATATCTGTTTTTGAGACCTCATTCTTTTGCTAAATAATTTGACTAGTTTGTTAAAATTTGTCTGAATTTCAGGGAAACTTAGTGTTGTAATGTTTTTGTATTGCTTTTTGTTGAGAAATGGTGGTTGGGACATATCCGAAAATGGACCAGACCACATCAGTCTACTTCAGTCCCAAGACCAGGCGACAAGCACCTTGTCTCTATCCATACCAGGCGGCCAAGACTAGTCATTATCCTCCCTTGTGTTTATCCATATGTTGTAGTTATCCTAATCATTATAGGATTAGGATAATCATCCCCTTTATTNTTGTGTTTATCCATATGTTGTAGTTATCCTAATCATTATAGGATTAGGATAATCATCCCCTTTATTGTTGTAATCCTTATCAGCTTAGGTTTATGTTTATCTCTAAGCTTAAGGATGTATATATATGTATGTATGTGACCACGTGATTAATAAGACAATACACAGAGTTACAACAACCTTCTTTATTCCACAACACGTTATCAGCACGAGCTCTACCCTATCACAAAAATCCGTAGCTCTCTCTCTCTCTTGGCGGCTGGAGAAAACCCTCATCCCTGCAGCAACTTCAAAGCGACGTATCTCCCAAACCCTGTGTACCCAGACGACGAATCACATATCAAATTCAAGCTCTCGACGAGAAGAAGCTACCAGTTCAAAGAGCGTCGCAATCCGATACCAGACGAGTTCTATAGCTCAGAAACAAGACGGCGGATGAATTTCCTTTTCTTATACCCGAGAAACCCTAATACCGGCTCAACTTCAAATTGACGTATCTCTCAAACTACAAGGATCTAGAAGCCGATCTACATACCAATTTGAAGCTCTTGAAGAGAGGAATCCAGCAGATCAAACATCGCGTCAATCAGACACCGGAATCAACCGCAATCACCAAAACAAGACGGCGGCTAAATTTCTGTTTTTCCAATCCGGGAAACCCTAGAAACTTCTCTCTTACTCAACGACTTACACCTTATTTCTTCCTCAATTTATTTCGTTATTTTGAAGAAGAAACATCTTGCTAACTCTTACTTTGCAGGTGTAAAGCTCTAGCTAAAGATTGAAAAGCCATCCGACCTCTCTCTCTCATAAGATCAAAACCGGTTTGCCCTAAAGGAGGTCCATTCAGATCATTGGTGATTTTGTGGTACAATTTTTAAACTCTAGAACATAGATCTCGTCCCCCACATTAATCTATGGTAAATCTGGTGTTTAAGAACTCATAATTGATCCCCTAAAAGCCTAACTTATGCACATGAATACAAACTTGTATTCATGAACAAAAGTTAACCTAAAACCCTAATTGATGAACTCGAAATCTTTGCTTGCTATAATTCGTTTGCTTGCTTATTTTTATCAAGTTATTTATGTTGAATGTTTAAGGAATTCACCTTGATAGATTTCGTGTTTTGAGTTCAAGTAAATTGATGTTTTAAAACTCTTGATAGCTATTGCATAAAACCGGATTGTTTGTTTCTCTCTCTAGATCCGTTTTTGATAGATCTTGTTTGATTGATTAAAATTCGTTCTTGCTGCTATAGATCTGATAAACTCTTGTTATTACTTGATCACCATTGGACTATGTGTTTGTTTGATCAATTGGATGATTAGATCTGAGGTTTAGAAATCGTTTTGACATAATCCCTAATATGCGCATGAACCAGAAATCCGACTTGCATAAAACCCTAGCTATAACTTGGATGTTTTCGTGTTTTAAATTTTTTTTAGCATGTTAATATGGACTATCTGATTGCTTATGACATTGAGGTCGAATGCTAGATTCATAGGTTGCTTGAATCAAATTGATAGTTTGCTAAAACCCTAGTTGTTTTCTATGCACATGAACATTCATCTAAGTTGTTTAAATTTTTAGATCTGTTCCTGGTAAATTGCACGACCTAGGCTTGTTCTAGAATGATAATATGATCTATCTAGTTGTGTTTAAAATTAAAAATGAGTGCTAGGTTCATTGGTTCTATGGTTGAATGAATTGTTTTGTTAAAACCCTATGCGCATGAACCCTAATTCCGAGTTGCTTAGATCCCTAATCTAAAAATTGAAATCTTTATGATCTTTGCTTGATATTACATGATCTCATGAACCTNGACTATGTGGTTGTTTGCTAAATTTATTTTAGAACCAAACTTGATGAATTGTTTGAAAACCCTAGTTTTGAAATTCCTAATCCAACTAGGTTTAGGTTTTGTTCTAAAAATAAAATCGACCAAACCTGATAAGTCTTGATAGTTTATAAGGTAAAACTGATCATCTTGAGACTATGTGTTGATTGAATGAATTTTTTTTTTTTAGAAGCAAAACCTTTGCATTCAAATTTTCAAATTTTGAAACCCTAAAACCTATTTTATAAAGATCCGATTTCTTGAAAGCTTGCAATGCTTGGTTTTTTTTTATTTTTCCATGATTGCATGATCTCTCTGGTAGTATTGTGAATAAGAAATCTGATGTTAGGTTATGAATGGAAAATTTTGGTTTTCCACTTTGAATAAAAATCGACCAAAATATATTAAAACCCTAAATTGGTTGTTTGTTTTGATAATTGTTTAACCTAATTCTAAATTATGGTTTCACTTGAGATTTTGGTTGATTGATCACATGTTCTAACTAGAACCAATATGCTAAGGATGACTGCATTATTTTGTGATCTGATTTTATGGTCTAATAGAATTCTATGGTTACTAGAATTGCTAAAATCATTTGGTTGATTGATATTGCAATCATGGTGAATTGCTTGACCATGCTGGTTAGATCTCGACCACTTATAAGTTCTCACACCTTGGGTGGTATGATATGGTCGAGATCATTAAGGAACCATGCACTTAAATTGCTTGTTTGGGACTTGCAAATTTTATGAGAACTAAAATCTGGTTGGTAAAACAATTTCAGATTTGGAAGTGGGATGTCATAG